AATGCAGAAAGTATGATTAATTTCCTTGCAACTTGGTCGTGGGGATCAGGATTTGTTCTTATCTATTCGCAGCCAATGCCCTGTCAGTTCACTGAAGAGACAACGCTAGAAATGGAACTAAATATGTGTTAATTAACAAGGGTTCAATTACTTCATTTTGATACGAACATAAAATTAGTTAGGGAGAATGCTACACTTAAGTTAATCTTGGCTTCCAAATTCAGATAGATTTCACTACCCAATGCCCCTTTTTTGTGGATACCCGGTGGCCCAAAGAAGATGATGATGAATAAAAGCTTTAGCAAACTGATCAAAACCTAGTTTCCCAAGAATAACATTGCTCCTTAATTTGCAGTGTCTTGTTATGGTCAACCCTGATTATGCTGATTGCTAGAATTTTTTCTTCAAAGGAACCAGAGAGAATATATGTTTATTTTTTCTTGAAAAGGGACTCCCTCAAGGCATATTATTCTGTTTAAAATGCATCGAAATAGCAATATTATGACAGTTTTTATGCTGCATATGTGCATTTTAGCTTGGAGTTCCTGATGATGATCACATTCCTTCTGCTTTTCTCTGCTGAAAGTGTCAAAACAAATTAATTCCATCAGCATAAATGTTTGTAGAAACCATTTTCACATGGAATAAATCGATTATGGGATTCTTTAATAGTTAAGGAACAAACATGTTGTGTGACATTGAAGACTCTCCCTCGACGTTTCATACCATCAAAAGACAGAATAAACATCCCAACATTCAACATAGGCAATAGTGCAATTATGATCATGACAAGATCCGACCATTGTGGAGACATTACTTCCAGAACACACAATGACACATTTTTGTGGGTGATAGCAATGTTCGCAATCGTGTGGTTTAAGCTAGAGATGAGTTGCACAGGATGTTGAATGATGGATGAGTTGAGGGTTGTTGTGCTGCTAGTGTGTGCCAACTAGCAAGATCTTCCAAATGCTATGAATGCTGCTGAGACCACTGACAAGCTCGGCCTTCATTTTCTCCGCCAGCGCCACGGATATATCCAGCGCACATGTGCCACTTCCGGTGAAGGGCTGTATGAGGGACTGGACTGCTCTCAAACAACATTGCAAACAAGGCATAGATGGCATAAGAGAGTTAGTCTCTCTAATGCTGGCCCCTTATGGAGTTATGGATGTCTACCCGGTTTAATGTTTTTGGTTTTTCATGTTTCTTTGTTTCTTGCAAACACTGCCATTTGTTACTGGTCGTTTAAGAATAATCGATCATTTTTCAAAAAAAAAAAATATGAATCTTTTTTCTATGATCGTCGAGGCTTTTTCTGTGTTTGTAGGTTTAAAATAAAACAAGACACACAAATTAATGATCGAAGATGAGTCAATGAATGCAATGAGATGGGTTGAATGAAACTGTGTTCAATTAACGAGTGCAATTGGGAAGACGTGCGGCTGCTTTGGGTTACTGTGGTTAGCTCAGTGGACAATTATCTCACTCGGATGGAGAAGTGGACAAAGTGGCGGAGTCGGTGCATATGCCATTTGACTATGATGCCTTACCGCTCATATCTAATATTGTACAGGGTAGTTTGTACTTCTATTTGGCTATAATGCCTTGGCTTGCCGCTCATATATATTATACGGGGTAGTCTGTACTTCTTTGGGTATGATAATACGGTTGCTATGTGAAGATGCTGGGATATTGTGTGACATTATGACGGATGATAGTGTTGATCACATATGCAACCATTATCCAATGCTGTTCATTGATTGCTGATAACCCTCCTGTGTTTCTACAATTGTGTTGTATCCTACTAACATGTTGGGAAATTTTCTGTAAAGCTACTGCTTATTTCTATGCAATGAAATATACCACTTGCTTTTGTTGCATTTCTCATGATGCAGAAAATATATTCTAATGTCTTCTCTTATCTGGAAATACAGAAAGGCATGTAAGTTCCCGGTATGACATACTTTTATTTGAAAATATGATCCAAAATTCTGCATTTATAACTCTGGACGTTGTAAGAAACTTTCTCACAATTTCCTCTTACGGTTGCTATATACCAGTTAATTTTGATTACACAACCTTTGAAATCTCTCCCATCCCAGAAGATCCGTCGCTCTTAAGCTTGTCATAATCATTTTGAACAAACTTTGACACTGGCGTCTCCTCCGCATGTGCCATATCGTGCTGTTGAATTACCAGCACCGATGACAAAACACGGCTACCTGACGAGGACAACATGTCCCCTATAGGCCCTAACTCCGCGTGCTCAGCTTGGCGGTCCGCCAATTTGGCCACCATAGGCGACGGGAACCGCCCCTTTCCC